CTAATTTGAATAAAAAAGAAAAACAACCCTTTTTCCCCGACCAGTTTTCAGCCTTCTCTTTGGATCCTTCTCTTTTATGCTCTAGTTTTCCCTCAGATATCTGGTGACTTATGGTGGCTGGTTTATATTTACAAATGAAGGACTAGATGGATTAGTGCAGTTTCAAAGGTCTTTTTCCCTGTAAGACCTCTCCTTTAAATAGGAGGGCCAGTTATGTAGCCAGCTCACAGAGAGGTTTTTCTGTGTGTCTTAGTCCATCCTGGTTGCTATAACAGAATACAAAGATTGGGTGGCTTGTAAACAACATAAATTTATTTCTCACAGCTCTGGAGGCTGGGAAGTCCAAGATCAAGGCATTAGCAGATTTGGGCCTGGTGAGGGCCTGCTTCCTGATTCATAAACAGTGAGCTTTCTACCGTGTCATCACATCACATGATGACAGGGGAGATCTGAGGGGCCTCTTTTGTATGGGCACTAATCCCATTCAGTGGGGCTCCACCCTCATGACCTAATTACCTTCCAAAGGCTTTCAAATATCATCACACTGGGGATTAATCCTCAACATATGAATTTGGGAGGAGCACAGACATTCAGTCCAAAGCACCGTGGGTTAGTCAGGCCATCTGGCAAACCCCACAGTTGACTCAGGAAGGCAGGCTTTACCAGGGCCTGAGTCTGCTGTGGAGGTTCAGAGCTGCTTCTCTCCTAGGCAAGGAACACCCACTCTTGGTTTCTTCCCTAGGCATGCTGCCTACTCTCTTCACTTCATTATTTTGGTAATGCTCCAAAACTAAGGTGATCAGGTAATTTATACTCCATACCGGGACACTTTTGAAAGTAAAAGTCCACCGTACTTTGCCCAGGCAGCAGTTGTAACTGGAACTGTCACCTTATCTACAACGCAGTCTCAATCTTTTTATCTACTGACTGAATTTGGAACCTCTCTGGGGCTCCATTGGGAAAACCACTCTTCTAAATCTTTTGGCTAAATTTTGTCTTTTTTTTTTTTGGTCAACTTGATCCCATCTGATTTCTGTTTTATTTTCTAGACTTTTTTTTTTTAAATTTGTGAGCCTCTGCTAGCCCCTATTCTTGTTTTCCAACACAGTTATGTTTATATTAAAAAAATAGTTTCTATCACTTCAGTGGGACCTGAGAGGGAAGGGAGGAAGAAGGACATGCTGTCTTGAACTGGAAGCTCATTTATTCCACTGTGACCATACGCCGACTTACTATATTTTATATATCCTCATGTGTCACTTTACTCCTTTTGGGAACCAGACACATTTAGTGATACCAGTTATGCAGGAATGAGCTTACCCTGGTAAATCGTAAATCCCTTGGCGTGCACTTTCCTTTCATTCTTCCCACATCTGGAGGGATGCCTATGAAATATCAGGCATTAAGTCATTTGAACCTCTGAGCAGTTTTCAGTGGGCGTTGTTTATGGGGGATTTGTTTTCAGTTTCCTCTACTTGCTGGATGTGACTTACTGCCAAGAGGAGTTTATATCCCCTCACACACTTGTTATAGTACATGGAAGAATGTCAATTCTTGCAAAGACAGTTCAGGCCTAGATAGTTAGGTTAAAGGCAGAAAACTGTAGGGACTTAGAACCAAGCCAGAATTTTGTAGAGCTTAGTGAAAGGATTGGAAATCTGCCAGAATTTATCCATGAAGACTCAGTCCAGAAAGACATTACTTACTAGAGGTACAGAAGCAGAGATGAAGACTTAATGAGAAGAATTTAGAAGCCAAAAGAGGGGAGGACTTCCTGGCTCTAACAAGGTCTCATGGGACAAGAGCAATGTGGACACCCAGAAAAAGATCCAGACTTTCCCAGCACAGAGATTAATTACTCCTTTGACCTCTTAAGAAAGGGCTATTCTCAGTCCTTGATGAGGGTGTTTACATGGAGACACTTACTGTACACAGTTCAAGACTCTGGTGTTTGGAGTGAATAAAATTCATTACAAAACTATAGAAGTCTATAGTTGGATGTGCTTCATATAAATGTGAAATTTGAAACTAATCATCATTTGAATGTATATGATCTAAACTAAAGTCAATTAATGTACAAATTAATATATCTGATTTTTGATTTACATCTCAAGTTGATCTGTAAATTACATGCAGGATGCCAGTGGGCCGGGTTAACTTTTGCCATGCAGAAAAGAGCCCCCCATCCCCACCTTCCCAATAATATCCATTGTTTTCCTGTCAGCAGTTTTACTATGCCTGGGTTAAGGTAGGGATGAATAAACAAATCATCTAGCTTTTTAAAGCTTTTAAATCTCTTTGCCCTCCAGAATTCCATTTTAGATTTTGATATTTTTGGTCTTTTTTGGGGAATCAGCAAGAAAGAGAGGATGGTGCTTTTATAGCCAGAGTTTGAAATCTTTCTTTCAGGGGTTGGTTGGTTGAGAGGCTGCTTCCTGGAGGGTTCTCAATTTCAGAGTTCTACATGGGGAACTGACTTCATTAGATGGTAAAGAAGGAAGCTATTGGGGGGGTATCAAACATAAACACTCTGTAAATGGTGGTAGGATTTTTGGCTACCAGGCATAGTCAGAGACATGGTGTCATTGGTCAGGAGCTGTCCTCAGAGGCGAACGTCATACATGGAAGTTGAGCCACAGGTGCTAAAGAGACATTTAGATACCTCTTGGACTTTCACGGAAAAATAGTCAGGTCTTATAATTCATGGTGCCTGGTGTATAGGGGGAGCAGGTGGTAAGACATGTTCCTATCTTCCTTCCTTCCCCTCATCTCCTCATCTTCATCTCCCTTTTACCTCCAGCTTCCCTTCTTTTTGCTTTCCTCTTGCTCTTCCTTTCCTCATCCCTAATATGTGCTTCCAAGTTACTTTTCGCCTTCCAGTCCCCATTAACTCTGTGGTTTTCTGTATCTTCTCAAAGTCAGACTCTTACCTCATGCCTACACTTTTTACAACCTGTTACTTGCCCAGGTGGAGAACTGTGGGGCTAAGGGACTCCCAGGTGTCATGTCAGTTACCATGAGAGGCCAACATTGATGTCTGGCAGCTGCTTGGCTAATCCTCCTTCCATAGCTTTCATTATTCTGCCATTACCCTTTTGTTGTCTCTGGATTCAGTGAACAGGGAACAAGAACTTGATGCAGAAACATGCTCTGCTGGTGTTTCTGGGGCACTGTCTTTTCCTGTCCTTTACAAATTGTAATTTCTGCCCTATCATAATCTTTGGGTTTGCTGTCCTTTCATTTGTTCATTTGTACTGGTGTCTCTGCAGTTGCTTTCAGGCAATGTAGAGGTGTCCTCTGGCAGTAGCCACAAAAATGTGGGTACTAGGGTAGGGTATAAGCTCCTTTTGGGAAGATACCACTGAGCTAGAATGAAGCAGAGGGAGACTGCAAAGCCTGCCTCCATTCCCTGAGAGCCCCTCCGTAGGCCCCCATAAATGTACTAAGCCTCAGGCCAATGCAGACAGGCCTCTTTCTCAGAAAGACTGGAATGTGTTTCAGTCTGTTGTATGTGTGGCCCCCTGGGGGTGGTAGTCTTCCAAGAACAATCTCCTGTTGTTACTGCCCCATGGAATCCAGGAACACAAGTCCATGGCCTCCAGAGCCAGGTGATCAAGGGGCATTCCCTGGGTGGCAGCAGTAAAAACCAGGTCATCAGATGTAAAAACTGAGGTACCAAATATGTGTAGAAGCCCCACTTGGGGAAGTCCTGGCACTCTGGAGTGTGGTGAGGGGGGTGCAAAGATGGCACCCTCTGAAAAAAGAAAAAGGAAAAAGAAACAAAAAAGACAGGAAAAAGACAATAAGAAAAAAAAGACAAGAACTAAAAAGAAGGAAAAAGAATAAAGGGGGAAAAATGGCAGCCACCTGCATTAGTAAGGCAGAGGTGGGCAGGGAGAGGGTACCCACCAGCACCGTCCCTAGAGAGTATCCCAGCTGGTCCTTGACCCTCAGACCATCACTGTAAAATTAGCAGATCAGTCTTTTCCTGGTGCTTTATGAAGGGCTGCTCCTGTGCTGGGCCCTGCGGCGGGTGAGTCTGCGTGGGAGCCCTTCAAGAGCCGTTCTTCTGTTCCACACACGCCCTGTGGGTCTTCAAAGCCAGATGCATTGGAGGCGGTCTCTCAGGTGCCCATGTTAAAAGTTGGGGTGTCAGATGTGAGATATGTACCCTTTGCTCCTCAGGTTGAAGCTCTGGGTTTTGAGTTCCCTCCCGCTTTGTCTGGGGGTGGAGTTTATAGTGAGATGGTGTCTCAGCCTTTCCTGTCTGCTTTGATATGCTTTCCCTCTTTGTCCAATGTGAAGGGGTCACCCAGCCAGTTTGTAATTTTTTTTTTTTCGGAGGAAATTGTTTCAGATATAACTGTGGATTCGATGTGTTCCAGGGAGGAGGTGAGCTCAGTTGCTATCTTGAACCAGAATTCTGCATTTGCTTTCAGAAGAGAGTTTATTTTTTGGTCACTTTCACCTAAAGGCAGATCTCAGTCCCCTGACGATGTGCAGTTCCTCTCAATGTGCATGTGTTGTTTAGAAATATCACCTTTGGCTCCATGACCGTAAAGTTAGTGACCTCGGTGGCCACTTCAGTATAGTTTTGTTTGGCTGTGTTATAACTTGTGACTTTGTAGCAAAAAAAAAAAAAAAATCCTTCCCAGGATGGCATGTGACTTTTAGCAGCTCCTTCTCCTTTGGGAAGTACTGGATGTTAAGAGAAAGGGTGTTGTGGAGTTGAAAGGATATACAAATGGGAGACACATAATGTTTTGCTTTATGACTGGCATCAGGAAGACAATGAGAAACAATTCAGCTTTCCATTTTGGGACTTTCCAGTACACATTCCAGTATTTAGGCTGGGGGAAAAAACCAATGCCCTTCAAATTTCAAAGGAAAGAATTCTTGGAACCTTGATGACAATCAAAGTAACCTATGTGTTGTTCGTTTAATGAGTTATATGTTTCTTTCAAAATTTAGTGTCATACCTGATTTCTCTTTCTCTTTAGAAGTGGAACGAATAGTGAAAGCCAACGACCGTGAATATAACGAAAAGTTCCAGTATGCAGTGAGTAAAACACACATAGCACACTCTTGTTGGGGTAGGTCCGACCTTAAGGACAGTGTGAGAGTCGTGCCTCTTATAACTTTATGATTTCAGTAGAAACTTTGTTGGCCCATTTTAATAGCAAGATGCCATATGGTTGCATAAATACAGATTTTAGTAATGTTTATATACATTTCTGTTATGCATTAAGAGTGGTTGGTATTCATATTGGTATAGGAAGAAGATGAAGTATCTTCTTTGTCAAGAATCAGTGCTTATTTCATTTTGGTGCCCATTTGAGCAAATGAATAATGTAAGACTAATATGAAAATAGGCCTCCATAGTAGTACTTGGTGATGGAAGTGGTGTTAGTAGCTGATGGGTGATGAATGACATTTGAAGATCTTCTCTAATTAACTCAGGTTCGATGTGGAAAAGTATATGTAAGAGAAAATTCCCAGAACTGAATGATTATATTTACCAAGTGAGCAGTGAGAATGATGAGTTAAAGTGTGTGAGGATTAGTTAAAATGTGTGAGCTTTAAGCTTGTACTGAACTACCTTTTTTTAAAATGAGTTTTATTTACATAAGAAAGATTTATTGAGAGTCTACTAAGTGGCTCTAAGTCTACTGTTTTAGAAATGTGGGATGCATTGGTGAACAACTTCGTCAATTATATCATAGGCTCTCATAAAAATATTCCTCATCTTCCCTTGACTCAACCTGAGTTGCTCCATGGAGTCTTTTATAAGTTCTAAGAAAGACAAATGGTAAATTGATTCCGTACGTGACATGTGGCATACAAGAGCTGCTGTGATTTGAGTGTACCAGCACGTTAATGAAAGTCTCAATTCAAAGAAGAGTTTGACAGCCGTTACGGCATAGAGAGAGATGTGATAAGATGTGAATGTCATGGGGCAAACTGTGGTAGTATCCATCCAGGAACTAGCCAGAGGAGAGATAATTTTGGCCAATGGATTATTCTTAATAATTTGACCAATGGATTGTATTTTAGTATTGGTAGTTCTTTTCCACATGTGGGAATGGATGCATGCATTGGACTATGGTAACTTGATACTATTAAACATTCAACAGAGGTAGCTGACAACTCCTGTTTTCTCATGCTGTGCTATCATGTAAACTTGTGATTATAATTTTGATGTTCAATGTCAGTTTCCCTACAGGGAGTCAGCATACTGTCTCTATGACAGATTTCTCATGTAAACTAATATATAGGCACTCTGATTTTATTCGTCAATCTTGTAAGCTTGGTTAAAGTAAGTTTGCCCTTGAGAGATGGAATCCCTCTCAGGAGGCTGAAGAACATGTTTTGTAGCCTGGGGCTGGGAGGTGGCGGGGAAGGGGGAGTCTATAATCCCCTATGGTGATTAATGCCACTCTGTGCAGCCTCCTGACATTTAGTCATTTAGTCCTTCTGCTTCTCACCACACTTGGCCCCATGCCAAGAATGGATTTCTAGCCATTCTAAAGCCAGTCCTTTAGAGGGTGACCTTGAAAGTCTTGACCATGAAACCCTTAATCAGAAAAGTAGACATGTGTGTATTTCAAGACCTTGGAGGGGAAAAACAGTAATAAGTGATCTACTTTGGAGTAATTATGCATTTAAGTACTTGGCTGTATTTACTTGTTTCCAGTGTACAAGTATTTTCATTCTGTGAGTAGTAACCATATAAGGAAAGCTATATTCTATTTGCTTTTTGTAAGATGATACAGTCTATTATATTTATTCTTATTTTTACTTAATTTATGGACTATTTCAAATTTAGAGAAAAGTATAGCAAATAATATGACACCCATATGCCCAACACCCAGATTGAATAGATGTTAGCAATTTGCCATGATTCCTTCAGATCTTTCTTTTAAAATGATATGGAGACAGTTTTCTTTCAAGCTTGCATGATACTGAACAAAAGCACACAGATGTGTGGCTGGTGCTATGTTTTCTGTTGGGCTTTCTTACAACGACAAGGCAGTAGAACAATATTCTGCAGCTGCAGCATATGACACAAGGCAGCTCAGTCTCTGAGTTAAAAAATACTCAGGAAAAAACAAAACCCATTGAGAGCTGGCAAAACCAAGAATGACAAGAGCTGAGAGAGGGAAGCTGCAGAGCAGAGAGGGGCAGCAGTGCCCCAGGTCTAATGACCCCTACTTTGGCTCAGAGGGGATGAGCTAGGCCCTCCTAGAATGAGCAAGGATCCCCACTAGACTCGACTGGTGGTGTGCTGATTTGGGATCTTGCAACAGATGTCTGGCCATATAGTGGGCTGTGGGACCCTTCTCAGCCTGTGTGTTCAGCTACAGAACTGGGGATAATAAAAGTACTTAGATAGTTATTGTAAGGATTGAAGTAGAGTAACACACAGTGACCCTATGAGCCAGCCTATGTAGATGGGATTTGAATCTATATCTAAGTTTTAAGGATTTTTAAGCACTTCCTGTATGGACTATCCTTTTAAGAAAGGCAGAACCAGGGGGTCTTTTGCTCAGTCTTGCCATCTTTAAAGGCTATTGCCCCAAATGGAAATGGATTTGAAGAAATCCCAACAGATCTTAGGAAGAATGCCCGTAATAATGGAAGAAGTAATATTCCTACCCAAAGATTGAAAAGGAGGTGGGAATAAACCAAAAAATTATTATAAGAAAGGTGAAAGGAGAAATGGTGAAGCTTCTTCACATGTAGTGGAAAGAGCATTTTGGGATAAGATAGATCATAGTCTGAATCCTCTCTTATTTGCTAACTTATGATCTCGATTTGTTTATTTCTCTGAGCATCAGTTAATCTCATCTGTGAAACGGGGAATTTTCCTCATAGGATTATCTACCAAAAGATTAAATGAAATAACTTACATAAATATCTGATAATAGTAGGACTAGCTAATATATATTAGATGCTCACTATGCACCAGGCCCTATGCTAAACCTTTTATATGCAATTTTTCCCCTCAACCCTAGATGGCTGTGGACAAGGATGCACAATAAATTTTAGATTCCCTAGAAAGTACTGATTAAAGTAAGATATTGGTGAAAATAATGTTAGGAAGATACTGAGAAATTGGCTAAAGTTGTAAACAAACTTTTTGCAGCAGATATCACAGCAAAAAATGAGCAAATCTGTGCTACTGAAGGTGTGGAAGTTGCTGATACATTATGCACATGATGCAACAGCAGAGAAACAAATACGCCTAAAAAAAAAATAGACCAGCAGTATAAATGATTGTGGAAGTAGAGACCACCCCACCGCTGCCCCTGCCAAATGAGCCGTATAGAAATGATAATAGTTTGATGAGGTACTTGTTGATTAGCTACTCTGTACAAAATATCTGAAGAGTTCAGGAAATTTTCTGATGTTGGCAGACTTATGGTTAACAGTGGTGATAATAACAAAAAAGTTAGTGATGGTAATAATAGCTTACACATATCTAGTGCTTACCATGTGAAACACAGGGTTCTACACACTCTACTGCATTAAACTCATTTCATCTCACAACTCCATGAAGAGAGCACTTTAGTTATCTCACTTTTATGTATGAGCCCAGAGAGCACTGATGCACAGAGATCTCACTTAAGTGACTTGCTCAAGGTCACACAGTTAGATAATAACTCCCATTCTTTTTTTTTTTCTTGTGCTTTTAAATTTTATTTTTTTTTAAATTTTAATACTTTATTTTTTAGAGCAATTTCAGGTTCACAGTAGAAATGAGCAGAAAATATGGAGAATAACTCCTATTCTTAACAGCTTTGAGTCCAGCTGGGTTCCAGGTGCTTTGTACATATTGCTAATCTTCTACAAAACCTAGAGAGATGACCTGGGGATCCCTTTAGTACCTTGTCTGAAGTCACACAGCTAGTAGGTAGAATTCTGATTTAGATTGGCCAGATTCAAAGTCTGTTTTTTCCCCATGATACCATGCTGCTCTTTTGACTAATCTTGAAAAACAAACAGCATAACAACAACAAAAAACCCAAAACACAGTCCTGATTCTACTCTCCTTCCCTGACATACCTGCTGGTAAAGTTTTTCTATGCTAAAGACAAAGGCAGATAAAGGAGGTATAAAATTTTACAAATGTGAGGCTAAGAATGACCTTAAATCTTACCCTTAGCATTTGTAGATAAGAACTTGGGAGAAAAATTTACACAAAACTCAGATAAATGGTCTAATTCCCACAGGCATTAAGCCTGGCTAAGCAAACATTTCTCTTTGAAGACTGAAGGAGGATATTTCAATACCTAGAGAACTCTAATTTGTCAACAAACCCTTAAGCTTCAAAGCACTTTATGGGATATAGCACAGGCTTAAAAAAGATCAAAAGTGCTTTTAAGAGATAAAGGGTTTAGAACAGAAACAAAAGACAAGGTTAATGATTCTAAGTGAAATTAATTGGCAAATGAGACATGATATTGTGAAAACTGGAAGGTGGAAAACAGAAAACTACGAGTGGGATTTCAGACTGCCAAGATGTGTGTAACAGTGGGTTGGAGGAGGGAGAGAGCCAAGTGCTAGAGTTATTACTCTCATTAGAAAAAGAGTTCAAAGTCTTCTTGGTTAATAACAGGAATGAATAATAGCAGTAATGAGAACAGTTGTTGTATTAAAATGTATTAGTTTTAAAAATGTTAGAAATATGTGAGAACCAGCCAAATGGCCAGACTATTTATCTCTGTTAAAAGGAGTTTGAAGAGAACGGTAGAAGTAGCGAAAACAGTTGGAGTTGTATTAAGATGTGTTGATGTCAAAAAAAAGTCAGAAAAAGTGTTAGATTAATTATAGGTATTTTCTGACTTTACTTAAAAATAAAGGTTGTTGGAAAACATTGGTTCCCACTGGTTCCTACTCTTTTTCTTTCTCACATTATACAGACATACTATCTCCTACTTCAACTGTCTTGAACTCTAACAGAATTTGAAAAGGGAGATGAACTTATTTGAGTGCTGAAAATGTTATCCTGCCTCAAACTCAGAAAGCTCAGTAAAGATGAACATTTAATAACTTTTA